TAATTATGGTGTTTTTTTTTTTTGCTGGTCGTGGGGCCTGAACTCTGGGCCTGGGTGCTGTCCCTCAGCTCTTCAGCTCAAGGCTAGCGCTCTACCACTTGAGCCACAGCACCACTTCCAGCTTTTTTTGCTTATGTGGTGCTGAGGAATCGAATCCAGGGCCTCATGCATGCAAGGCAAGCGCTCTACCATTGAGCCACCTTCCCAACCCCTCCAAGCCTTTTTTTTGGTCCGGTTGTAGGGCCTGAACTCTGTCCCTCAGCTCTTCAACTCAAGGCTAATGCTCTACCACTTGAGCCACAGCACCACTTCCGGCTTTTTTTTCTGTTTATGTGGTGCTGAGGAATCGAACCCAGGGCCTCATGCATGCAAGGCAAGCACTCTACCACTGAGTCACCTTCCTGCCCTCTCCAAGCCTTTTTTAAAGATGGTGAGGTCATTGTGAGATATGAAAGCAATAATAAATTATCCTGAAATGCTTAAGATATCCTTAAGCAATATAAACTTGTAGGGCCATCATTATTTACTAAAATGTTAACTATCAGAAATAATAGAAGGGCTAGGCATTGATGGCTAAATCTTGTAATCCTAGCTACAGGAGAGACTGAGATCTAAAGATCATGGTTCAGGGGCTGGGAAGGTGGCTCAGTGGTAGAGCACTTGCCTTGCATGCACAAGGCCCTGGGTTTGATTCCTCAGCACCACGTAAGAAAAAAGCCAGAAGTGGCGCTGTGGCTCAAGTGGTGAGCACTAGCCTTGAGCCAAGAGCTGAGGGACAGCGCCCAGGCCCAGAGTTCAGGCTCCAGGACCGGAACCCCCCCCCAAAAAAACGAAAAAAAAAAATAAAGATCATGGTTGAAAGCCAGCCTGGGCAGAAAATAAAAAAGCTCAAAGTGAAAGCAGGAAAAGCCTGAGGTTTACATCCTTGCCCTGCCTTCCCCAAGAGTTGTATCACAAAATCATAAACCCATGAAGTAGTGCTGTGGCTTAAGTGGTAGACAGATAGCCTTGACCAAAAGCTCTAGCACCATTAACAGGGCTGGCAAAACACATACATTAGAGGCAGAGCTCAAAAGATAACCTTCACTTTAGCTTTCTGATGGTTTACTGGTCTCACTTTTCTGCTTGAGTTGGCTTCAGGCAAGAGATCCTCACATCTCAGCCTCCTGAATGGCTAGAAATACAGGTGTAAACTACCAGCACCAAACTCCTTAAATTGGGTGTTGCCTGTACACCCAGCTATTCAATGAAATTAAGTCTGCAGCTATTTACATTAAGACCCTCTATCTCACAAATCTAAGTCATATGGCAAGTGAACAAGTAGCCAGATACAGTATAGATTTGCTAAACATTTTTGAAATGTGCCTAAAAACTAGGTGCTGTTGGCTCAGGCCTGTAATCCTACTGAGGCAGCTGAAATCTGAAGATTATGGTTAAAAGTCAGCAAGAAGCCAGACTTAGTTCCAAAAAAATGGCAAGTGTTGCAGTGGCTTTACTAAATGGTGTCCAAGTTGAGTTCAAGCCCCAGGACCCGCCACCCCCAAGTCAAATGGAGGGTGAGCAAATGGGGAAGAGGAAGTGGTGACATTGAACAAGATGTAATGCACTCACAACCTGATGGGGAACTGAAACCCACCGCCCCCCCCGAAAAAGCAGAAATGGGGCCGTGGCTCAAGTGGTAGGTGCTTGCTTTTAGCTAAAGCAGTTCCAAGCCCCAGTACTGGCAGAAGAAAACCAAAGTCTGACAAAAATTGGGAAGGAGTCTATTTCAGTGCCAACTATACAAACCCATAGCCCTGTATTCAATCTCCACCACCAAAAAGAGACTCCAAACAACATGTTAAGAAGTGTTTATTCAAAATGTCCATATAACATTGTACCTAACACACTATAAATTTAACCCCATCCCAGACCCTAGGGAGAAACATTATTTCTTCATCAAGCCTTATTGTAGTCATGCTGCATGGACAAAGTTTTATGTTAAAAAAAAAACAACACAATCCTCAGATCAGTTTTTACCAGTTTTCTCACTGCCAATATTGAAAAATTTCTATATCAGATCCCTGTGTACTCCACACCTTCGTATACCCCCTAAACCTATAATGTGAGGGTTACTATGAGGGATGAGCCTTTGTAAACATATTTAATCACCCCTTTGTGAGACAGGAAGTAGGGTTTTAAAAGCTATTTTTCTACCTAAGTGAGGTAGAAAGGCTAGGACTTGGGACCTGAGAACACACCTAGAATTCTGTATCTTGAAAATAGTTCTCAGGGGAAGTTCTAGAAGCTGAGCATGGTGGAGCAATCTCAGCTACTTAGGAGGCAAGGGCAGTTGGCTTTCCTAGGGAATAAGTAGTAATGGCAGAGCCACAGGGGATAAGGAAGAGGTAATTTTTAGTAGGAACCACATAACAGGACTTTTGTGTTTGGGATCTTGGTAAGGCTTTTCCTTACTGATGGTGGCTACCTCTTATCAGGTTAAAAGTTTTTGACAATTAGCTATTTGGGCCAGTAATATCGCACCTGTATACTGTGTATATCATGTACAAGGTTCTAAGGTTATTTTTTTGTGTGCCAGTGCTGGGTGTTGTCCCTGAGCTCAAGGTTAGTGCTGTACTACTTGAGCCACAGCTCCAGTTCAAGTGACTTTTTGATTAATTGGAGGCAGGACTCTCCTGCCCTGGCTTATTCTGAACTTTGATCCTTAGCTCTCCATCTCCTGAGTTCCTACTAACAGGAGTTCCTACTAACAGGTGATCAGGTGAATCACCTGAACCCAGCTCAAACATGCAATTTTATGAGGTTATGGCACCATACACAGTTGTGCGTGAGACTGGGTCTCTCATGGCTGTTTACCACAATGCAATTCCTGACTCAAAGAACATGTCAGACAGCTTTGTGAAGCTATTTGTGGTCTTCATTGAAGAAACCTAGGAAACCATTGTCATAAGCATTTGAGCTAATCATGGCATCTTACTTCAGGTAGGAAACTGGGGATAAGAGGTATATTTCCTATCTAGGCAGTGAGTTGGCTTCCCCACCCCACCCCCAATTGCAAGGCAGTAACAGTGGTCTTCCTGCTCCCACCAGTTTATAGTTTCCCAAAAGCCCAGCAAAGAATGTTTCCTCAGACCAAGTACCCACCTGGTGGGGTTAGCCACAATGCCCCATAACCTGGGCCTGGCTCACTGGGTCAGGCAGAAGTCTGGGAAGTTCCTGAGTCTCTCCATCCACCTGCCAAAGCAAATTCATGACCATTTGGGTGGGAGAAAGAAAGGTCTTTGGGGGCATGTCTCTAGTACCTGGGAAACCCAAGAGGAAGTCTTCACATTCCAGGAAAGTGTGGGAATAAGACAGTTTTATGTCCTGGAACCTTGTGGAAGTTGGCCAAGTATTGGTCAAATGGGGAAAAAAGGGTCATTTTTCTGTTTCACAGTGGAATCAACTAAAGAATAATCTAACTTTATAAAGAAAGGCAAAATTAAGAAACTATGGCTAGGTAGGGTCAACAAAAACTAAAAAGTTATCACTTTCCCACTCAAGACACAAAAAACTGAATTCCTATAACTGAGCTGTGTTTACTATCCCCAGCTGTCAACTCATTAAACTTTTTACAGAAAACATAAAATGGCCAGGTGCCAGTGGTTCATGCCTGTAATCCTAGCTCCTCAGGAGGCTGAGATCTGTAAGACTGTGGTCCAAAGCCAGCCTGGACAGAAATGTCATGACTTTTCTCTCCAATTTTCTACCTAAAAACAAGTGGCACTGTGGCTCAAGAGTGCTAGCTTTGAGCAAAAAGAGCTCAAGCCCCACAAGACAATCCCCCCCCAAAAAAGAAAAACAAAAACAAAATATAAAAATACCACTGAAGCTAAGAAAAAGTAGTTGAACCCTGGAATTTGAATCTAGTTTGAGCTGAGGACCTTGTTTTCAAATCGGGTTTCTTAAGTCTCTCAAAACTAGTCCAGTATACCTCCGAGCAACCTCATTCATTTTGTAATAACTAGTACCATTCAACATCTTCACTTTCCATCTACCCATCCCACCCCTTTCGTTTTCTCAGTTCTGTGGTATATACAAGGCATTTTTGCCTGATTCTACTCATATTCTTTATTCATTCTTTTACCCCCCCCTTTTCAAGTACCAATTCCTAGTACTCATTTTGTTTGGCTTTGACTTAGTCTTTCTAAAGAATTACACTATTTGCTTTCCCTATCGATCTATTATATTTCAGTTAATTCATTTGTTACCACTTGGGTGCCACCCAGTGTACTTAATTCTAGATTTAAAGGCACAAAATGCTTTTTTAAATGGCAAAAAAGTTTAACATATAATCTAAAAATTAAGAAAACTGAGGGGAGTGGGTAAAACTGTTGAAAGGGGTGACATTGATCAAGAAGCACTGTGTTTATAAACTGCTGTTAAATAGCAACTCCTTTGTACAACTACTTAAAGAAAATATTTTTTAAAAACCCAACAAACTAGTACCACTGTAGTAAGGTTTAGGACTCATGCACTGATCTTAGAAGAATCTTCTGAGGCTCAAACCTAAGTAAATACTGACTAAATGACAAGATCAAGAAACTCTAGCCTGGTGCCAGTGGCTCACACCTGTAACCCTAGCTACTCAGGAGGCTGAGATCTGAGGATCACGGTTCAAAGCCAGCTGGGGTAGGAAAGTCTGTGAGACTCTTATCTCCAATAAACCACCAGAAAACTGGAAGTGGCACTGTGACTCAAGTGGTAGAACGCTAGCCTTGAGCTGAAGAGCTCAGGGAGAGTGCCCAGGACCAGAGTTCAAGCCCTAACATCCAAAAAACCAAAAAACAAAAAACCCTCCAGAAACCCATTTCCAGCCAGTAAAACCCACCATACCTCAGGTCTCAATGTGTACTCAAGCCTTGCAACTTCAGTTCAGTACCTTTTGGCAGTCCCTATCCTCTCCCACATTTTCCCCTCCTCCTGATCTGACTATTTTAAGGAAAAAAGCATTATCAATGTCAATTTGTATTCAGATTTCATCTTTTAATCAGCTCCATGAAGGACATCCTAAACACTACATGAGACACAACAGAATATCTTTTTTCTTCCAGTATTATAAAATGACATTCACAAACATTTTTAAGGAGCTTTTCTATATAATCAAGGTGGTGATATTGAATTTAAAAAATCTGTAAGCTAATTATGTCCTTGATGATGCAGACTGCTGATAGATACATTTAGAAATCACTTCCTGGCCATGATAAACATTGTATACAGGTTTTAAAAACGTCCCCAAATACATGTGATTATTAGTTTTAAAAATCAGTCTGGCCAATCTTTTTGGTCAGAAGGAATAATCCTGAGAGCTCTAACAAAAAAAACCTGATAAAAAGATAAAAATACCTGGATTCTAAAAATTTGTTTTAATTTGTTTTTGAATGGGAAAAAAATGCATGGAGCTTTCTGAAAGGTATTTAACAACAGGCTACCTTGGGAGCTCAATGAATTAAAAAATATAACTTGATGTACTAAAACAGATGTTTCAACGCAGCTCCAAAAATCTTTATAAATACAGCAATTTGGAAGGACGATCCTGGATCAGAAGTGTTATTCCTTGTGTATCTGAGAACAGTAAGAAGGGGTAGAATTGTGATTCAGGAAGAAAACAGGCTGACAACATGCTCACCTCTTTCAGCCCCCAAGAGGGTTATGGGTGGGTTTTTAGAACCTCCCCCAAGCACACTAGCCTTGACATGCAGAAAGCGAGGAAAGCCAGAGTGGTGTTTGTTGGGCTGTCTAGGTGAGGGATGCAAGCGCAGCCAGAAATACTGAGTAGTATGGCAAGAACAAAAGAAAAGAATTCATTGAGTTTCATGGGCAAAGATCTGTTCAATGCAACATTCGGTCTCTCACCTACATACGTGTGCATGTCTCATCTCAGTTATCGTAATTGTCTCTGTAATTTCCTCCTGAGTAGCGGTCATAACCACCCTGGCTTCTGGGAAAAAGCACATTTGTCTTACAGAAATGCATTCTACACCAAGGATTAACATTACAACTATACATTTTATAATATGTACCACAATACAAATACTCAAGACAGAATATATTAAATACATGCACTTCATGTAGTTAAACCCAATTCTGTGGGATAAAGCAAGTATGAACATTCAGGCTATTTCATTTCTCAGTTACCCACCTGCCACTATAGTCTCTGGAGCGTCCATATCCATATCCATATCCTCCAGGCCGACTATCATATCTGCCACTCCCATATCCCTGGTCCCCGCCACCTATAGCACATAGAAATAAATAAATGGCAGTAATCCAGACATAGGCCACTAATAATTAACGCTCCTCAGCAATCACATGATCAAACCTGTCACTGTACTTACCTCTAGAGTAGCTGCGACCACGCCCATGGCCCCCAAAGGCGCCCCCTCCTCTGGTGCCCCGGGCAGACTTGCCTGCATGGTCCACTCGGATCTGGCGACCATCCAGAGACTAGGTATGGGGAGACACAAGGAGGAAAGGTTCGCAGTAAGTCACGTAAGGGATAAAGGAAGCGTGGGCATGGGCAGTTGGGCAAGAGCCCAGAAATACCAGTAGGGCACCAGTTTCTGGGTGCCATGTTCCAGGACAAGCTCCTTTGACCAGAATGGCTTCAACAGGAGCTATAGAATCCCACAAAATGACCTGAATCCACCGTGTTCCCCTGCTACTTACTACTTACATCTCGACTGAACTCAGGCTGAGTTCTCCTCCCCACTCCTCTAAGCTGCCCAACTATTAGGGCTAGACACCTCTTGGTTTGAGGCTTCAGAGTCCATCCCAGAAGACTCACGAGGTCCTCTCCGGGCCAGGCCCACAGGTCTGCAGACTCTACTACCTAAGCCCAGGGCAGGTCAACCATCCTCAGGTGGCTTCTCGGCCTCATGCAGGACCAGTCGTCGCCTCCCAGGCAGCACGGCTCTGTCTGCCGCTGCCCTCCACCCCCTAGAACAGAAGGCAGTCATGCTCCTGTGAGTGGGCACCACGAGGCTTCATGGCCACGCTGCCTCTAGCAGACACAGAGGGGAAAACAGAATGGAGAAAGTGGCTATGGGGAGAGGGGCCCCTGGGCAAGTAGGATGCCTCACCTCTCCATTCATGGCTCTCATGGCATCTGAGGCATGTTCTGGGTTGGTGAAGGTTATGAAGCCAAAACCTCGGGATCGTTGAGTCTCCCTGTCCTTGACAACAACCACTAAAAAAAAAAGGAGAATAATATAGCAAAGCCAGCACCTAAAACGGTAGGCATACACTTTTCATCAATTCTATAGGGCTCCTTCAACCTAAATCTCTATTTTAGATCTAAAAAAGTAACATGTCTGACAGTGCACATTGTAATCCCAGTAGTTGGGAGTCAGAGGCAGAAGGATCTGAGTATTGAGACTATCAAAACGACTCAACTCCTTCAAGGAAAAAAATATATAGAAAAATTGCAGGCCGGAAGTACTTTTTTCTGATGTTCTTTGCAATAAAAGGGTACCAGATTTGCTGTCACTCCCTCCCTCCCCCCCATACACATAGAGTGGGTCTGGCCCAAATCTCACCTTCAGAAATAGGCCCGAAGCTACTGAAGTGGTCTTCAAGTGCCTGCTCATCAGTGTTAAAGTTCAGTCCTCCCACGAAGAGTTTTCCTTCTTCAGAAGACATGGTGGTGAATTTGAATCCTGTGGAGAGGACAGATAAATAATGGGAAAGTGGAGACAAGATGGTGAAAAGTCAGAATAGACAAGACAAAAAGGCGGGACACTCAAAAGAGGAAGGCTGAAATGGCAGGAATCTGCTGGGCTGTCAGATTGCCGTCGCCATTTAAGGGCTGCCGATGCGCATGCTCACATCCCCTTGCCACCACGCCCGTCATTTTGTGCCGCCGCGCAGGTCCGGAGTAGCCCGGCGTTCCCTCGGCGCCCGCAGAACAAGATGGCGGCCATCACGTGGGGAAAAAAGCGGGCAGCCAGTATTGGCTGTCGCGTGGTCACTGCTGCCACCAGCGCTGCCAGTCCCTCCCGGCATTCCTCGCACCCAGACGCACCTCGCCAGCCTCCCAGCAACCAAGCTTTTCACCTCTTGAGTCTGGGACCCGCCCGCGACATGGAACTTCAAGCCAACGTGTCAGCGGCTACTACTGTCCTCACTGGCGTTCCCTGACACCGGCGGGCAAAGCGCAGGGGTAAGGCAAGGAATGGCCGCCCCGCAAGACATTGCTTACCTTTCAAAGTGAAAAGACTGACACGCCAAGTTCGGCGGAGCAGGGAGAACAGGAAGGCTGACGCGCGGGAAGACGCTAGATAAAGAGTACGTAGCGTCTACGTCACACAACGTCCCCAATACGCGCATGCGTGCGTTCCCATTGGCTGAGCCCATCAGATGGGGTAGGGCAAAAGGAAGGGATAGCCGAGCGAATGGAGCGATGCTTTCGGCGCGCTTCCGGGGATGGAGACAACTTTTGTGCGATTGGTGCAAACCGACATCAGCACCCTAGCTCCTCCCCGCCACACTAGCAAAGCCGTCTTTTTTCAGCCCCTTCAGTGCATGAAGTCTCGTACCCTTTTCCGTCCCCGACGGATTCTCACTGTCCTTGTTGGATCTTGGTCCTTACTATCTCACTAGGTCCCTGACAATGGAGCTATTCTCATCGGATGTCAACTTTCTTTACCTTCTAGTATTGTAACCTAATACCTCTCAAGAGCTTGACGTTTTATCCCCCACTGGCGTTGAAATCATTGCTCTTCAGAGACCCTACATTTTCTTAATGCTTGGCGCGGCCCTTTTGTTTTCTCCTCTCTGTGTACTATCTAGTTGCCTGTCATAGGACCATTTCCTGGTATTGTACTTATCTCTGAATTCTGATTTTCCTGTCATTTGAGATGCCTTCTTCGAAACAGGATTGATCCTGTTTTCAAAAGATGCAAATGTCAATTCCTAGTCCACCTGCTGCTGCTCAGGGTAGATGAGCTCTTGATCCACAGAATAGACCTTCACAGCACAATGAAATCCAAAGCAAGTACTGTCGGAGGTCACTGATGCCATTTTTTTCATCCTTTACAATGAATGGATTGACAGATTTATTTTCATTGCTGAGCTCTGCATCAATGAGAGTCTGCACAGACTTCATGATTTTACCTGTAGAATTAATTTGTCTAGCTTTATAAGGGCCCTCCTCCATGCCAAATCACATACCTCTGGCACCAACACAGGCTAGATTTATTAATTTTTAGAGTATTTCTGTTGAGCCGATTTCCTTATTTTTCTTGTTTAGTTTCAGGGATTTCTCAAATAGATCATTTTTTATGTGTTGAATATTTTAGTAAGCCACACTCACTTATTGTGACATTTGTATTAATTTCTACGTAGTATCGTGTGTGTGTGTGTGTGTGTGTGTGTGTGTGTGTATACCTGCGTGCACCAGTACAGGCACTCAGTCTTTTTAAGCTTAGGGCTAATGCTCTAGCACTTGAGCCACTTTCCATTTTTTGTAGGGTTCCTCCACATTCTAGTTAATTACAGATAAGAGTCTCCAGGATTAGTCTTCCCTGGTTGGCTTCAAATCTCAGTCCTCAGATATCAGCATCCTGAGTAGCTAGGACTGTAGTGAGCCATGAGCTCCTGGTTTTAGCATAGTTTTGTACCTACACTTTCCCTTTTTTCTGTTTGGTATTTTGCTAAGGATTTAACAGAGCCTTCATGTGCGAGTCAAGACTTCTAAAGCTGGGTGTCAGTGGTTAATACCTATAACCCTAGCTACTCACGAAGCTGAGATATGAGGATAGTGGTTCTCAGCCAGCTGGGGCAAACAAAACGGAGTTTTTTTGTTCTTTTGTGGTCTTGGAGCTTGAACTCAAGAGCCTGGGCTCTGTCCATGAGCTCTTTTGCCCAAGGCCAGCACTCTACCACTTTGAGCCACAGCTCCTCTGGTTTTCTGGTGTTTAGTGGAGATTTTAGTCTCACAGACTTTCCTTCCCTGGCTAGCTTTGGACCATGAACCAGATCTCAGCCTCCTGGGTAGCGAGGATTACAGGTGTGAGTCATCAGCATGCAGCCAAACTAAGTCTTATCTCCAGTCAACCTGCAAAAAGCTGGAAGTATATCCAACTGGTAGCACACTGGCTATATGTTTAAGTTCCAGTAGCAGCACACGCGCGCACACACACACACACACACACACACACACACAAATGACTTCTACCACTGACCTATATCCCCAATTTAAAAACAAACTTTTGTTAATATTTATTATTTCTCTTTATTGCACTATGCTGCCTTCCATATATTAATGATTCAATCCTTTGGGTTTGTTCCTCTCTCCTTTATCTAACTTCTTGAATACTTAAGTAATTAAATTTTCAACTTTTCTTTTCTTTTCTGGTGGGAAGGGGAGGTGGTGTTGGAGATTGAACTCAGAGCCTGAGCATTGACTCTAAGATTTTTGGGGGCTGGGAAGGTGGCTCAGTGTTAGAGTGCTTGCCTTGCATGCATGAGGCCCTGGGTTCGATTCCTTAGCACCACATAAGCAAAAAGAAAAAAGCCGGAAGTGGCGCTGTGGCTCAAGTGGTAGAGCGCTAGCCTTGAGCTGAAGAGCTGAGGGACAGTGCCCAGGCCCAGATTTCAGGCCCCACGACCGGAACCAAAAAAAAAAAGAAAATGGCATGATGTTTTTTATGGGCTGGGAAGGTGGCTTAGTGGTCGAGCACTTGCCTTGCATGCATGAGGCCCTGGGTTCGATTCCTCAGCATCACATAAGCAAAAAGAAAAAAGCCGGAAGTGGCACTGTGGCTCAAGTGGTAGAACTCTAGCCTTGAGCTGAAGAGCTGAGGGACAGTGCCCAGGACCAGAGTTCAGGCCCCATGACTGGACCCAAAAAAAAGAAAAAAGATTTTTGGCTCAAGGCTAATGTTCTACCATTTGAATCACAGCTCCACTTCTGGATTTTTGCTGGTTATTTGGAGATGAGTCTTACCATCTTTCCTGCCCAGTCTGGCTTCAAACTGCAATCCTCAGATATCAGCCTCCTGAGTCGCTAGCTCTTTCTTCTTTTTTTTGTTTTGGTACCAGTCCTGGGACTTGAGAACTCCAGTCCTGGACACTGTCCCTGAGTTTTTTGCTCAAGGCTAGCTCTCTACGACTTGAACCACTTCCAGCTTTTTTTTTTTTTGGTAGATAACTGGAAATGTCTCATGGGCTTTCCTGCCCAGGCTGCCTTTGAATCACAATCCTCAGATCTTAGCTTCCTGAGTAGCTAAGATTACAGGCATGAGCCACCAACACCAAACTCTTATTTTTGATAAATGTATTTAAGTAGCACATTTTTTTTTTAGTAATTTTAGTGCTGTATGTAGAATTATTGTATTAAATATTTCTGAATTTCTTTGTGATTTCTTTTATCCAAGGACTATTTAGAATATTACTTTCTCAAAACCAAGGGCTGCTGCTAATTGCTAACTTTATTATGGAAAGAGAACATGTTTAATATAACTATTTAGTTGCATGTTGGAGATCTCAGAGCCTTCTACAGGCTAGTTAAGCACTCTACCACTATGTTATACCTCTATTGATTTATTTTTTTTTGGGTCCGGTCATGGGGCCTGAACTCTGGGCCTGGGTGCTGTCCCTCAGCTCTTCAGCTCAAGGCCAGTGCTCTACCACTTGAGCCACAGCGCCACTTCCAGCTTTTTTCTTTTTTCTTATGTGGTGCTGAGGAATCGAACTCAAGGCCTTAGGCATGCAAGGCAAGTGTTCTACCACTGAGCCACCTTCCTAGCCCTCTATTGATATTTTTAAGTGTACTGAGGGCCAGGTGCTGGTTGCTCATGCCTGTAATCCTAGCTACTCAGGAGGTTGAGTTCTGAGGACTGTGGTTCAAAGACAGCCCAGGGAAGAAAAGTCCCCATGAGACTCTTATCTCCAATTAACTACTTAAAAACCAGAAGTGGCACTGTGGCTAAAGTGGCAGTGTGCTAGTCTTGAACACAAAGAGGCTCAGGGACAGAGCCCAGACCCTTAAATTCAAGCCCCACAACTGACAAAAAAAAAATGTACTGAGGCCTTCTTTGTACCCTAACATGATTTACAGTGTTATGTAGGTATGTTTTATATGTGTGTTGATGTAATCTATCTCTATCTATCTATCTATCTCTATGGAAACTGAGTATATTATGTTCTCCTCTGTAGTTTATTTTTTGTGCCAGTCCTGGGGCTTGAACTCAGGCCCTAGGCGCTGTTCCTGAGCTTTTTCTCTCAAGGCTAGCACTCTACCACTTGAGCTACAATTTGACTTCTGTGAGACAAGAGTCTCACAGGCTCTCCTGACAGGTTAGTTTCAAGCCTCAATTTTGTGATCCTAGCCTTTTTTTTTTCTTGGTTGGTCGTGGGGCCTGAACTCTGGGCCTGGGAGCTATCCCTCAGCTCTTCAGCTCAAGTGTTTTGTTGTTAAGACAAAGACTGCCAGTGTTGTCCAGGCTGCCTCAACTCGCAATACTCTTGTCTCTACCTCCTAAGTTCATTACTGGCTTGGACTTTTTGTTGTTGTTGTTTTGGTCTTGGGGCCTGGACACTATTCCTGAGTTTTTGTGCTCAAGAATATTGCTTTACTACTTGAACCACAGCCCAACTTTCAGCTTTTTTTTGGGGGGGTATTTAATTGGAGGTAAGAGTCTTATAGAGCTTCCTGCCTTGGATGGCATGGAACTGTAATCCTTAGATCTCAGCCACCTGAGTAGCAAGGATTACAGACTGCCACTCTCACCAAGCTCTGGATTAAACTTTTAAAAATTTCAATAAGGACATCTGTATCTTAAATATTTGTAATTAGGGTTATCTCATTTTGTATTCTTCACTTAAAAGTTTATTTTCAGGGCTGGGAAGGTGGCTCAATGGTAGAGCGCTTGCCTTGCATGCTTGAGGCATTGGGTTCGATTCCTCAGCAACACATAAGCAGAAAAAAAAACCCTGGAAGTGGCGCTGTGGCTCAAGTGGTATAGTGCTAGCCTTGAGCTGAAGAGCTGAGGGACAGCGCCCAGGCCCAGAGTTCAGGCCCCACGACCGGACCCCCCCCCCAAAAAAAAAGTTTATTTTCACCAGGCACTGGTGGCTCATGCCTGTAATCTTATTCAGCAGGGTGAGATCTGAGGATTGCAGTTCAAAGCCAGCCTGGGCAGGAATCTCCAATTAACCACCAAAAAACAGGAAGTGGTGTTGAGGCTCAAAGTGGTAGAACACTAGCCTTGAGCTGAAGAGTTCAGGGACAGCATCCAGGCCCAGATACCCAAGGAATGGGCACTGTCCCTGAACTTTTTGTTCAGGGCTTTATGGCAATCTCAAGGAAGACAAATAAGAATATAGTTGCCTGATGCTCACCTCACCTCTAGTACAACTTCTGGCCAGAAGCTATATGATGTGAGGATCTAGTTAACTCCTCCACTGTCTGCTGTCCTTTGTAGAGAGCAGCAGCAGCCTGTGAGAGATCCCGACCTGCTAAGAAGGTAAGGGGGGAAGGGTTTTGAAGTCCAGGTTGTCCTCCATCTTTGGATTTTCCTGCCTCAGCCTCCCAACTAACTGGGGTTAAATGTACACACCATCATGCCTGAGACCTGTGTTCTTTTTTTGTTAGTTGTGGGGCTTGAACTTGGGGCCTGGGCAGTTCCTGAACTCTTTTGCTTAAGGCTGGTGCTCTACCAATTTAAACCACAGCACCAGTTCTGGTTTTCTGGTTAATTGGAAACAGAGTTGCATAGGTTTTCCTGCTCAGGCTGGCTTTGAACTATGACCCTCAGATCTCAGCCTCCTAAGTAGCTAGGATTACAGATGTGAGCCACCAGCGTCTGGCTTTAAAAAAAGGTATTGTTCTTTTAGATTTTTTTGTGCCAATACTAGGGCTTGAACTCAGGGCCTAGGCACTGTCCTTTAGATTTTTGCTTAAGCCTGGCACTTTACCATCTGAGCTGCAGCTCCACTTCTGGACATTTTTTTTGTCAGTTGTGGGCCTGACCTCTGGGCCTCAGCTGTCCCTCAGCTCTTCAGCTCTACCACTTGAGCCACAGCACCACTTTCGGCTTTTTCTACTTATGTGATATTGAGGAATCAAACCCAGGGCCTCATGCATGCAAGGCAAGCATTCTACCACTGAGCCACCTTCCAGCCTCCACTTCTGGACTTCTTGATGGTTGAATAAGATTTCCACAGATTTTTCCTGCCTGGGCTGCCATTGAACCAAGATCTTCAGATCCAACCTCCTGAGTAGTTAGAATTACAGGTGTGAGCCACCAGTGCCCAGCTAGTACCTATTTATTTATTTATTTAGCCAGTTGTGCGGCCTGAACTCTGGGCCTGGGCGCTGTCCCTCAGCTCTTCAGCTGAAGGCTAGCGCTCTACCACTTGAGCCACAGTGCCACTTCTGGCTTTTTCTGCTTATGTGGTGCTAAGGAATCGAACCCAGGGCCTCATGCATGCAAGGTGAGCACTCTACCACTGAGCCACCTTCCCAGCCCTTATTTATTTATTTTTTATCATTATCCTTCAAATACTTAGATCACTTTTTTTTTTCTTTTGGGTCCGGTCGTGGGGCGTGAACTCTGGGCCTGGGCACTGTCCCTCAGCTTTTCAGCTCAAGGCTAGCACTCTACCACTGAGCCACAGCGCCACTTCCAGCTTTTTTCTTTTTGCTTATGTGGTGCTGAGGAATCGAACCCAGGGCCTCTTGCATGCAAGGCAAGTGCTCTACACTGAGCCACCTTCCCAGCCCCTTAGATCTCTTCTTTTAGGGTTTGGGTTTTATCAGTGCTTGTTTTATCAGGTCCCATCACTGAAACTGTTTAAGGCCAGTCCTTCAAGCTGCCTCCAAACAAGTAGCCAGATTAGTAGACTTATAGACCTGGTTCAAGGCCGCCAGTATTAATGCATGACACTTCCAGACAAAGGACTAAATTCTAGAAATGGTGAGATGTATAATGTCATGGGTGGCTGGTCTGTCATTTTTCTCCAAGTAGCCATGGCTTCCAAGTCTTTATAATAAATCTTGTTGTTTTTGTTTTTTTGGTACAGAAGCTTGAACTCAGGGTCTCACTGTCTCACTCAGCTTTTAATCCAGCCCCCTCTTAAGAAAATAACAAACTAACAATTAGGAACTCTTTCACACCAACCCCCAAAGATAGATGTACCAAACAACCAATGTAAGTTTTCCTAGAGCAGATTGAAGCCTAGGCTCACCTTCTTCAACCAATCCACTCTCCCTGCCATGTGGGGAAACAAGAGCCACCCTCCACAGCCCTACAGCTAAGGATTCTGTGGCGATCCCATCTACAGCAGAACCCAAGAACAGGGCAGAGAAATAGACACAACACATTGACCTTCATGTGGGCAAAGTGGAGTTGTTTAAAAACGCAGTGATAAAAACAGACAAAAGAGGCCATGGCCTCTATTGGGGCAATGGCAAAGCAGCCCCCTCCCCCCCTTAAAACCTGAGAAGAGAGGCCACTAGGCTCCAACAGGTCTTCGGATGGCAGGCAGGGAGGTGATATCTCACTTTAGGCCCACATGGGAAGTAGGGAGATAGGTGGGATTGATGAACTGGTGGGATGGAGATTGATCAAAATGAAGCTGTGGCCTCTGCCCCCTCCTCTGAGTCCCAAACCTCAGACTGCAGGTAATCAGCAAACAGAGATTTAGCCCTGCGCAAGACGCGCCCTAGGTGATGTTTTCGTACAAGGCGGTCAAAGTGCATGGCCAGCTCGTTGTAATCTAGCCCATTGCGCATGATGTGATCTCGGTGCTCCAGCAAGATGGCCAGGCAGAGGAAGAGCATGAATGGATTCCCCCGACCAAACTCTTGGGGTGGGGGGAGGCCCACTGGAGATGACAATGGCAAGGATTTCCCAGAGTGTCTTGGAGTGCCTACCTCGTGCATCAAGGGGGATCCTATGGTTATGTCACCAGTGGGAGAGGCTTCCTGGGTAGATGGTGGAGATGAGGAAGATGGAGAGTCAGGGCGGGAAGAGGAGGAGAGCAATGGATCTGGGGAATTTAGCAAGGGTTCGGAGAGGGACTTAGAATTGATGAGGGCAGAGGGGTGGGGTAGGTGGACCAAAGGGTCCGTCATGGGACCCATGGTATCCCTGAGTTGCTGGAGGCCATCCAGGCTAGCTTGTCTCAGGAGACGCCCCCCACCACCAGGCTCTTGGCTGGATTTGGCCAAGTGGCGAACAGCATCTTCGAAGGCACTGCCTTCTCCACCAGCAGGCCTTAGCATGTGCCTCTGTCGAACTGGCCTCCCTCTGTGGCCACCAAAGCCAGTATCTGTCACGTGGCTAGGGGGTCCAACGAGCTCTACTTCATGTTCAGGAGGATCAGGGGGCAATGAGCTCCAAGTGACCTCAAGCATGCGGAGGGCATCATCGAAGGCAAACTCTCTCTTGAGCTCCAGCAATAGCCAACGGTAACAAAAGAAGAGATCATCAGCTCCTGCTTCGAGCAGATACTGGTAGAAGTCAGGGTCAGCATGTCGTAAGAGTAGCTTAAGGTGGGCAAATTTGGTGGCCATGGCACGGCCATCAGGATGGAAGTTGGCGGCCAGGCGCTTCATTATGCCACAAAAACATACAAAGGCATGGCCTTCGTGGTCCATGACAGCAAGGATAGGGGATGCCAGGTCACTCATACCCTGGCAGTAGGACACCTGTGGGTGGGTAACCGCATAGGTGGTAAGCAGGTCATGAAGGGCCCGCAGATGTGGGCCATCCTCAGGCCCTGCATAGTAGGGGTGGGCGCGATCTGTGCGTAGCACATCCTTGAGGACTGTGCTGCGGATGAATTCCAGGTCCTCAGGGCTTGCTCGCTGGGCCCACTCACTCTTGAGCTGCTCATACTCACGGCTCTTGCGTTTCATGTAGTCCATCCGCTCACGGCCTGTCAGCCCGTCTGGGTATACGTTAAGTAGGTAGCGCCACACCACCTGGTCAGGAATAGAAATGGAAGGGATGAGGATATGGAGTGTATGTATGTGCGTGCATGTGCACACATGTGTACTGGTTTTGAGGCTTGAACTCAGTGCCTGGGCATTGTCCCTGAGGCTTTTCCCTCAAGACTAGGGCTCCACTACTTGGGCTATAGCTCTATTTCCAGCTTTTTTTGGTGCTTAATTGGAGATAAGCATGGACTTTCTTGCTCAGGCTGGCTTCAAACACAATCCTCAGATCTCATCCTCCTGAGTAAGTAGGATTACAGGCATGAACTACCAATACCCAGCAGGACAGGGAGACTTTACAGGCCAAATTACCACCCACCCAGCTCCTCAAGGCCTCTGTCATTCTTGTCATGAGCCTGCCTTCCCACCAGTGAGTCTTAGCTCCTCTTAAAAGACAAGCATATCGGGTGCTGGTAGCTCATGCCTGTATTTCTGTCTACTTAGGAGGCTGAGCTCTGAGGATGGTGGTTCAAAATCAGCCCATGCAGGAAAGTTTGTGAGATACTTATCTCCAATTAATCACCATAAAGCTGGAAGTTGAGTTGTGGTTCAAAGTGGTAGAGCACTAGCCTTGAACACAAAGTTAGGGACAGTCCCCAGGCCCTGAGCTCAAGCCCCGCAGTGGACCAAAACAAAAAAGGCAAGCATCCTGCCCTGGATATTTCCACTCTATCCACAGAGATACCTATTAGCACAGAAGGGATCAATGCAAGGAGGGACCAACAAGGCTCACCTTTCGCAGTGAGGGCTCCACACCGCCATGATAGATCCGCAAGCGCAACTCTTCTGGACGAGAGAGCTGGCCTTCATGGTTCAGATATGTGTGAAACTCAGCATCGTTCAGTGGTGGTTTAAAGGGTTTCACATCTTCTCCATATGACCAGCTTAGCACCTGTTGAACCCTAGATAAGGTACGGCCCACCTGGAAGGGAAAGGAGGGAGGAAGGCCACTAGTCATCAGAGAAGGCAAGGAGCAGAGGCCAATGAGCAGGTTCCAGATCAGAGGTTCAAGGTAGGCCCTGCTCTCCAACCCCAACTGGGTCCCCAGAGTCCCTGAAAACCACCTGAGAGAGGATAGACTGTGTAAAAGGCAGAGCAGCTGTCAGCGATGACCGTTTCTCAGATAGTAGTACGTCAGAACCAATCACATCTTTGGGGCTGATTATATCCCAGTCTTCCAGTAATGGGCCTGTGTGAACAGAGTAAAGGGGCACCAGTAAGAATGATGAGGCTACAAACCTCAGGGCCATGTCCTCTTCCAAAGCCTGGTTACCTGTAGAGCAAATAGTGTAAACACCAAATAAAGCAAACCATCAGCAATCCTTCATGTATACATTTCACAAAATGGCTGTAATCCTAGAATCCCTCCTGTACTCTGTGTGTGTGTGTGTGTGTGTGTGTGTGTGTGTGTGTGTGTGTGTGTGTGT